ATATAAATAGCATGCATCTGGAGAACCACGCTCCCTTATACGTAAGCCTAACTATGCCACTGTATAAATAGCATGCATCTGGGGAACTACGCTCCCTTATACGTAAGCCTAACTATGCCACTATATAAATAGCATGCATCTGGGAAACCACACTCCTTTATACGTAAGCCTAACTATACCACTAGATAAACCGCATGCATCTGTGGAACCACGGAACCACGCTCCCTTATTCGTACTAACGAGGCTGCAGTAAATATAAAGCCGTACCTGGAAACCGCCACTGTCCGTGATGATGGGTCCCTTGTAGTTAGCGTACCTGTGTAGGCCACCAGCAGCCTTGATTATCTCCGGCCCTGTGTTGATGTGGGTATGCGTGTACATGTGTGTGATGTGTATATGCGTGAGTGCAGGAACCATGTGTGAACTTAGACCAATCCGGACCTACAACGTATAATATGTGCATGCCCCGAAGGATGCAGGACCAGTACCCCATCACAGCCGCTACTACCGTTATGAGGGTAAGTCAGTCGACACGGTTATTGTGTCGACAGTGTGGTGTGATACACCACGAACATATGCGCTGTGCACGGCACTGGAGTGCTTATGCAAATGTGAGGGCTCGTAGGGATTGAGTAACTATATACAGAATGTGTATACGTATGGAGTTTATTGGCAACGTCCCCACATTACTAGTGGTCACTCACACCCTAATACAGACGCAAAACATTCCACATGATGTGTATACGTACTGAGTTTATTGGCAACGTCTCCACATAGTAACCACTCACATCCTAACATAGACGCGAAATATTGTACAGGATGTATATACGTATGGAGTTTGTTGGCAATGTCTTCATATAGTAGCAACTCACACCCTAACATGGAGTCGATGGCCAAACACATGTATTGCCCGTGGCCACAAACGTCTGTCACCCATAGCCAAGTACGCCTGTTTCCCAACAAACAAAACCCAACCCACCATATAGACCCAACCCACCCAACAAACCCAACTCACCTGGGTGCAGCAGCAGGTGGTAAGTATTGCAGAACATGAGCTCGAGTCCCGTGTCCCGAGTCATCTCGCTCGTCAGCCCTTTGATCGTACCGTTGGTACCAACTCCCACGAAGTTAGGCGTAGTAATGACCCCATGGGGTGTGTGAATGACCCCCACCCGTGCCCCGGATTTTTTGGACTCGTGGATGACCTCGAATCGGAATGGGCCATCGCTTTTGGTACTTTGTACGGGATCGGTCGTCGTGTACCGTACCCGGCTGGAAAGGTTCACGGGAGGGTCTGTCCCTGTAGCCTGTGTACTTGGGCCCGTGTCCACCTCGAGACTACCAGTACTGCTAATCGCATCAACATCCCGAGTAGCAGAATGAACACCTTGGATGGTACCTCTCTCAGGCGTGCTAGTAGTGTATGCTTGCGATTGTACGTTTGTATTTGATTCTGTTCTCTCCTCCAGCACATCAGATTGCTGGTATACGGACACCTGCTCTGGCAATAAACCAAAGTTTATACCAGGATGTAACTGCCCTTTATTTGGTACTCCCGGGTCACCTTTCACCCCCCTTAACACCGCTTCTTGTGCGACACATGGTGCATCAGTAGCTGGATCAGTATCAACGGGCGGATTGACCGTGTTTGCATGCCCTACCTTACTTTGACTACAATGGAAGCCTGTGATCTCTTTAACCTGACTGCGTGTAGTACATAAAGGCTCACTCAAAGGCACGTGCGCTTCTCCTTCAATAACAGGCGGTCTTAAGCTCTTCGTACATACGGTGTCGTGTGAGAACGAATCGGCTTGTGTACACATACTGTCATGTTGATATGCTCCACGGCTATCCCTATGTTGATGCACATCACTGCTATTTAGTGTACTATCGCCTACAGGATCTATGTTGGGTGCTTCTTGCGTAGTGCCATAGTTAGCTACAGAGTAGTTTTGTGAACACATGCTGGGTTGGCATGTAGTATTCGTACGCCATCGCCCCAATGTAGGGAGCACTCTCGCACTCGCATATCTTGAATAAGTAAACATAGTTGGGGTATAGGTGTGGTATAATCAACTTAAAGAGATACAATAATAAGGTATCCCAGGTATGCTGTCTTATTTAATCGGATCAGATAAATTACATTAGACACTCGTGAGTCGTTAACCTTTTACAATTCATATCACTCATTAGAGTTTGTTGTCAATGGTGGCTTGCTATGACCTTAAGCTTGCACAGCGAGATAGTCTCTTCAGTACCGTTCGATAGTATAGCCCTATGATGCGATCGATTGGTTGGTTGCTGGTCGCGTACTATGATCGCATACATACACAAGGAGACAGTAGATGTCGTCGCGTACGACTAGTTAGGTACAAACCTGAGGGATGTGATCTAGTATTGCACACTACGGTTGTAAGCGTCCCATGCTACTGACCCTTCAGATACCCACTCAGTTTATGGACATACATATAGTGTAGTATTCATATAACAGATCAACAATAGTACATACAATCGTTCTTATTGTGGTGTATCGGTAAGCGTACCATAAAATGCATACAACTTCAAAATCCCCTTGTTCTATATCACTCTATACCTTATATAAATGATATATTTAGATTGATTACTTACTGATAAGCACAAATGCAGATATGAAACGTGAACGGCACGTGAGTCGTGACTCGTGACTCACAATACGTTTCGCGTTTAAACGTAAAAGCTCTGTATAAATATGCGTTTACGATGAACGTTTACATAATGATGGCCCTATGGTTGCAACTAATAGGTGCATTTTCAGAGCCTCATGGTTCACAACGCTGATATATTTCTGGTAGGTAGTCCGTTCAACTCGAATAATAGGACTATTTTTCCAGCCTTTTGACTCGAATCAACGTTTAAAGTTATAAATTGAACAAGTATGTATTCAGTATTGATGTTCTTATTAGGTCTCTTGTATTGAACGTTTGCGTTCCACTTTTTTAATCTGCACGCACCATACTAAAATCGACCCTTTTGACGGATTGAGGTTGGAGCTAAGCCAATCAAGTACTCGTATTTAGGGTTTGAAATCTCTGTCACTTGAGTGTGTAAATAAATACATAGCCTTCAATATGAAACTATAAATAATAGAGAGATCCAAGAGAGAATGAGTTTCCTCCCTCTGCAGTGTTCAACATTTTTTAGGATTATACGCGTGTTTATTGCCCTATATATAATAGTAGACTATTTAAAGTAGACACCTCGTACACTGCATCACAAACGCAGTATATGCTGCATTTAATATAACGTCTTATTCAAAAAAGATGTTAGGTCTTGTGTATTTCGCATCTCTGTTAGGAGCGCTACTAATCTGCTTAGTCAACGTAGCAAGTGTTTTTAAAAGCACGAAGGGACCAAACGCAGCACAGTGTATATCTCTTATACTTGCATGTGCCACAGTGGCGATAACATGGAAGCACATACTCGGATTTATGCTCATAGAAGCTGACTTAGCCGAGTCAAGTACTTATGAGAACTCGTACGACTACTTTTTCTCCCAAGACTTTGTCACATGGCTGCTTACATGGGACGTCGAAGACGTCACAGATGGCATAAATACAAAGGCTACTGATGATGCTAATATACATGTACATACTAGTGAGTTTAATGATACGAGGGATACTGACACGTTTGCTGAGAATATCTTCTTTGTGGCGTACAGAGAGGTCTCTCGTACGTGGTATGGGTGGTTCCACTCTCAGAACTTGCTGATGGCTGCGATAGTGCTTACTGTATTCGTAGGCGAACAGTCATCAATTTCTTTACAAACGAAATCAACATCTGATGAGAACAGTACAGGCAGAAAGAAAGAGAAGAATACGCAAACTACAACCACATCTGATGGTAACAATAGTCGTGGAAACGAAAAGAAAGTAGTGTTAGGGGGTGTTGGATCTATATACACTATTCCGGGTTTTTCGATGCTAGTGGTAGGGTATCTCGGTGCTATGAGTCTGTGCTTCTTCCTCTTGATGTGCTTCCTCTTCACACGGATGCCTTCTACGCAACGGTTGCTTAGCAACGCGGGCGGTGCGATGGGTGCAAGTGGTGCTACGAAATCAGACGACACGCATGGGCAAGTCTCGCGCACGAATGATACGCACAAATATAACAAACACACTGAAGCGACAAGTGGAATAGGACGGGAGGCGGTACCTCACACCATCACCTTCAAAGAGAGTGTCATGGGCGCACTCGCTCTCACGTGCTTTATATCTGCGGCAGCGAGTGTGTATCTCTTCCCACAGACCTCCGAGACGCTCTCAGTAGATGTACCCCAGGATCACGTCTTCAGCAGCGTGCTCAGTTGGCAGGTATTCACACTCACCACGTCACACTTTCGAGCCAATCTGATATTTCTGCATGTGATTCTCTTGACGGGATTCTTCTTCTCCCGGAGTCTGCCGGCTACAGACGACTCGCGCAATATCTTTAGATGGTGCTATTATGCTCTCAGTGTCGCGGCGTTCTGTATCCACGTGGACACGCTTTACCACATCGAAAACTTGGTTCGTAGCAGATATCCAGAGAGCTTTGGCACTGATACCGTGGGTCTTATACAGGATGCACTTCAGCGGTTACTGCAGGGACTGTGGCTAAATGATTGCCAAACCAGCATTGGAATGGATGGTGTATTTATGAGCGTTGGTACGGTAATGCTAATCACCTATGAGAAAGGCGTATCGCCCGGAGCCATGAGTGTAGTGTCGACTCTGATCGGGGGTACAGGTTTCACACTCAGTAGATACTTGGCGGATAGATCAGAAAGAAAAGTACGATTAGATGAACATGTATAAATATATATATGTCTATCCGTACATGGAAATGAATATATATATTTTAGTGAATATATATATATATATATATATATATATATATATATATATATATAT